GTTACTGCAGCTGCATTTTGGTCAGAAAAATAAGAACAAGAACAGTGCCTGCATTACAATAAAAACACAACGCTATTCCAAAAGCGACAACGCGTATAAAGGATGATAAAAATGCTGAAGAGAAATTACAGAAGGGGTGAAAAAGTGAGGGAATAGTCAATCTGTTCCTCGAAAATTGACGACATAGTTTTGTGATAAAAAAGGAATGGAAACAGCAAGTTAGTTGTAGTCAGTTAACCAAATAAATAACTTTTATTGGTTAAATATCACACAAAATAGACAAAATACTAAGCTATGATGTAAAAACTGCATAAGAAAGCTTCCTTCATCTACATATAATTACAATGTTATGTGCTCTTAGAACCAACACAAAGTTTATCAAAGCATACCAAAATTATAATATTCTGCAAATACCTATAGTAGGCCAATAAATAATTGTGTCTCGCCATGTGTTTTTTTACGTCGGTCTTTACCGTCTCCTTACAATAAAATATTCTTTGCAAACATCAGGTTCTGTTCAGACTGCAACCAGTAAAATTTAAGTTAGAAAATATGTGAGAAATACGTGTAAAGAGGTTTCCTGCGTAAGAGAAATCTTACTTCATTGATAATTAATAACATCAATGAGGTCTAGGATGTATATAATACTATATAATAATATGCATGTATATTATATAATAATAATGATAATAGTAATAATAATATCAATAATAATAATAATATCTATGATAATAATAATGATAAAATAAAGAATGATAATAATAATAATAACAATGATGATAACATAACAATGACAATGCCAGTGACAGTGACATACGAGTGATCATGGTGATGACCACAATGACAACAATGACAGTGATAATGATAATGACAATGATAACAATAATGACAATGATAACAATAATAACAATGATAATGACAGTGACGGTGATAATGACAATGATAATGATTATAATCAATGATTAATGGTTCATTTTGACTTTAACCCTTTAACTCCCAGAGGGATTAACATGTAACTTCTTTCCATACATTATCCAGCAAACAGATAATGGAAATACTCAAACTTTTCACATAAGGCATAAGTTGTTATCTTAATCTAACACCAAATTCACAGAACTAATTACAAAAAAATGTGTAGCACCTAAAGGGGAGAATTAACAATCAGATCTTAGGAGTTAAAGGATTCAGATAAGTTGGAACCATTAAGGACTGCCATGCATTCCAATAGATGATCACTCGATTGGAAGATGTCACATAAACCAATGCAGGAAGGTTCTTCCCTGGTGAAAAAGCATAACTCCCTGCACAGAAACCCATCACATTTTCACCAAAGCTGAACTGTACCACATTCTTATGGCGATCAATTATATAAGTGTTTCCCTCCCAAGAGCATAAAGCTATTTCCTCATTGCCATCACCAGTAATGTCGAGTTTTGACAGAGCAAAGAGATTGTAGAAGCCTTGCTCGATACAAAGTGACCACTGAAGCTTACTTCCATAAAGTAGAGTCACCTGACCATCTTGAGTACATAGCACTAAATGCTTCTCTAAGCAGGAAGCTGGTGCATCAGGATCACGACATTTTAGACTGAGTAAATTTAAAGGAATGTCTTTACTTCTTCCCCAGACATGGGGAAATTGTCTAAAAGTGGACTTGGAAGCTGAGCTTGACATCTAGTAGAGAAGGGATTTTAGATCAGAATGTTTGGCACAAAACTGGAGAGGACAGAGTGATAAAGAATTTTTTTTTTTTTTGTGATCCAGTATCACTAGGACTACACCTACATAATGAGCATGCACAAATTAACTTAGTCAAGGATTAAAGAGCCTGAGCCCAGTTGTTCAAAAGCTACTGCTAATTGCAATTTGAAGGCTTAGTGTTATCCAAAGGTTAAATTATAATTTTTTTAATTAATTTGCTCAAAAGCCTTCTTAGAGCATCCAATCATCAAATTCCAAAAAAAAAAATAATACCGAATTTTCTTCGAAAGCTTTCAGATCTGAAATCAGATTTCACACTAACCTGGGTTGCCTTCACCCAGCTTTGAACAACCTGGCCCTGGTGTGTGGTTTAGATCATCAACAGGTTCTCAAGTTAGATTTTTTGTGGGAAAACTAAAATTTGTTCTCTGCTCCAATCTTGTTAAAAATGAATAGCATTTTCTCTGCTTGACTACATAGCTCAAAATACTCTACTTTTCATATTTACTCAAACTTACTGCAAAAAACTTTCAAGAAAAAAAAAAGAAAGCAAAAGAATCTTAAAGACAAAAACTGATCACAAATTATGACCAAAGAGAATTGTTGCAAACTCTAAGTTAAAATTTCCAAGTTAGCAATACTTTTTTACCTGGTCACCATCTTTCTGTTGTTTGCTCAAATTCCATGAGTTCAAAATGATATAAGAACCCCCAGGATATGAGGCCAAAAGGTACCTGGTTGTTGCCATGTCAAACACTACAAGGGAACCAATCTGTCTTGGAATTGTCCAGTGATGGACTTCCTCAACCTTAAAAGACACGTTTCGCTTTTGAACTGCATCTCCTGACACTTTGTTTCCTACATGGTACAACTTGGCAATTGTTCCTTCTTGCTTTAAATCTTTTCCATTCAATTTTTGGGCTGTCTCTATGCTGTTTTCGGTAATTTTATCCAAATCATGTCTGTTGGTAGACACTGATGGCTTGACCTTTTTTTTCTTGTCTTCTTTTTCTATAACAAATCAGAAATTGTTGATGATATAGTCAATACACTCTTTAGGCATGGGTTACTGAGGCAGGCTTATGTTATTTCATTGTGTTGTGATCTCAGTCAGGACAAATAACTTGTCATCATAGTGCCTCTCTCCAACCAGTCATGTATATTCAAAGTAGTCTTAAATTATCACAGAAACACACAAATGCTGGGTCAAGGGAGAGGGGAAGGAGACTGAATGGATCTATATCCCCAAGGAACACTTCTTGTCTCTTCATGGTATGAAATTGTGGCAGTGTGAACCTATTGACTAGTTTGTAAGACTTTGATTTCTCAAGCACTAGCTTGGCTTATCTTGAAGATCTATTGTTGTCCATTGGATGAGAGCCAAAAAAAGAGGGAAAAAATGTTATTTTAATTAGCAGTTTATCTGATGGCTTGCCTTCTGAACTTTTAGTAAAACTGGAGCAAGCTTTCCTAGGTCAGGTATGTGTTATCCTCAAAGAACTAAGAGCATGCTTCTCTAGAATACAATAAGTGACATATAAAAAAATAATCAATTTATGTAGATCAGGGTTGAGGAAAAATGTCCATTTCAAAGGACTTATGGTTAAGAGGCTAAAATTTATGAATATTATGCACTTAGGCTGTTGTACTGATATCTATAATCTGCAAACAAGCTCTGACTGGTATTGCGGCATGCTTTATGAGCCCTAAGAGATGAGCCAGCTTGCAAAGTGCACCAGTGAGGTGCACATTTTGTTGAACATACAACAGAAATTTAATTTTTCTGCTTGAGAACTGAAACATCTTTGGATGAAAATCAGTGTTAACTTTGTAACTTAAAGAAGTTGCTTTGAAATGAATTCCTTACAGTTCTATGAAATAAAAATCACAATGACTGACAAAAGTTATGAGTCTATCTATGAATGTGAATTATTAAGAATATCATTTTCATTGTTATCATTATCATCTTTAGCACTATTTTTAAGAGTAGTAGTAACAGTGCTATGATAGGATTTTATTTCATTTTTTATTTTCAAAATTTCCACAGGCCTCTTGGAAAGTATGTGGGAGGTCTGATACTCCTTGTCTTGAGTTAAGTAACCACCTCTACTAACAATGAATATAGGCTTGTTTAAGTAACTAAAACCCTTAATATTCTGTTCTGAATCACACCTGTGCTTGGCTGATCACAGATGTCACTCTGCTTATGATGCTCTTTCACAACATGCAACTTGTGGATATACACAGCTCTATCTGCATGACCTGTTACAAGTTCCAGCATTCCATCTCCATCCACATCTGCCAACAAAATGATCTTACAATTGGAAGGAAGAAGAAGGGAGGAAATTGGTTTAAAAGTCTCTTGTGTTGTCTCTGGAGTAATCTGCAAAATATTTCAAACAAAGTTGTTGAGTGCAGTGTGTGGAAGATTTTTTGGCCCAGTTACTGGTGAGGTGTCCCCAAATAAAGGGATGGAGAGTCCTTGCCTGAGTCAG